GCCGCGCCGAGCCGAGCCCTCCCTCTCCACTCCCTCGCTGCCGCTTCCCGCGCGCCCGCGTGGTCGCCGCCCGTGCCGCGCCTGCGCCGTCTGCGCCGCCCGGCCCCGCTGCCCTGCCGCGCAGCCGCTCGGCCCCGCGAGCCAGCACACGTGCCCAAGCCACGCCGCTCAAATCGCCGCGCCGCCCGTTGCTTCCCGCGCATGGGACGAACGGATTCCCGTAGCCGCGTAGATGTTCTCGCCGCCGGGAATCGGCCCCTCGTGACCTCGTCGCCGTTTCCCTCTTCCCTCCCCGCCGGTTGCCGCCGACGCACTCCCTCCAACGAATCCGAGCCGTTGGCTCGTCTCCCCTCGTCTCGTGCAACCACCCGGTGTGCTCGCTTTCGCCTGTATCGCCGTGGTTCGCTCCGCCGCTCGCCGCTGTCGTCCGCCGTCCGTTCCGGTCGGCGTTGTCGCCTACCTCCCGCCGGCCCGTGTCGCTGCCACGTAGGCGCCACGTCGGCGCCACCTCGGCCGCGACCGGATCGGCTGACCCGGCCAGCCGCTCCCTCCGTTTCCTCCCCCTCCCCCGTGCGCATGGTCCGCGGTGAGCCGTGAGGCTGCTCGTGGGCCCGCCGCACCGCATCCTCCGCGAACCGCGCGCATGCACCGCGTCTCCCTCCCCGAACCCTAGCGCGTGGGCTCGTGAGTCGTCGACAAACGGGTCCCACCCGGGACCACGCGGGATGGACCCGGTCCACCGGCTCTCTCTCCCCTCCCCGCCCGCGCGCGTGCTTTGGGCCGCCTTTTGGGCCGGCCGGCCCATTTAGCTCGGCCGAGCCGCCTCTTTTCTCTCGGGCCGCGCCCTCGCCGCCCGAGGGAAGTCTAATTTTCCCCCTCCTTCTTTTCTTTTCTTTTCTTTTTAAAAAAGGATTTAAATAAATCCTTTTCCTTTAGACCAAAAATCCAATAATCTTAGAAATTCAATATCTTCCCAACTGTAAATCCGTTTGACTCCGTTCAACTTCCAAAATTCCTCAAATCTCGAGATCTATCTAATGGCACGCTTAGAGGTCATTAATAGGGCTTTATTTTCGCCGTTTGTTGAGTTGTCCCGTTTTGCGTGTAGTTTCGGAGCCCGAAGACCCGCAGTGCGAGGATTTCGAGGATCAAGCTCAAGATCTCGAGCAAGGCAAGCCACCTTTGAACATCTTGAGCCTATATCTGAACTTAATTTTGTTGCTTGAAAAATATTATGCATTGATAGGATCGCACTTAATTTGCTTGTCCCGTCTGCAAGGCAGATTGGCGGACCTACCTAATTTGTTGCATCTGATCCTTCCTTTGTTAATTGTTATACCATGTTCCCTTGTAACCATCTAGTTGCGCCTCGATATTCGTGCACTCTGTGTGAGTATCGACGGTCGCCTTCAAACTTAAAATTTGAGTAACTTCTTGGGTAAAACTTGGGTTTTACAAAAGACATGGAAAACCCGACACCTGGGTCGGTGCTTGCGAACTAAATGAATTTCCAAAACCGCGGACCGGGGAACGTACCGGGTGTACGGTTTCCCGCTTTTGCTCTTAAGGACCGTTTCCTTGGAATTTCATCCGAACATAAGACAAGTACGACCACATGGGTGGAATGGGACACCCCTGGCTGAGTAACTAGCTTATCAGGGGAGCCATGATGCCGAGAGACATGTGGATTCGCCGGGGTGGTGTCGGGGAGGACCCCTGGGCTTCCTGGCACAGTATGGTCTGGGACCTAACCTGTTGTTGGTCTGGGACCCCTCTCGTCGGCATATGGTAAACCTGTGTCGGCTTTGGAAATGCCTTGTCATGAAAGCTTGGAGGTCTCCCGACGTGGCTGATCCCCACGGGCTGGGTGATCCGGGTTAGTAATGTCGTGTGGGTAAAGTGTACCCCCTCTGCAGAGGTTAACAAACTGTTCGAACAGCCGTGCCCACGGTCATGGGTGGATGTGAGGTGATTCCTAGCGTAGTTTTGTTTGACTACTGCCTTGTGAAATTGCTGTTGTGAAAAGGGGATCGATGTTTGGAAAATCTGCAGATGATGGGATCAGCTAGGCCCGGGTGGCCGTTTGAAAGTTGTTGGCCCGGGTGGCCGTTTGAAAGTTGTTGGCCGGGTGCCAATCTTGAACAATTCTAAAGACTGATACATTGCACATACTCCGACCGGACGAGACGCACTGTCTCATCCGTGTCGTTTGAGAAGCACTCACTTAGTTGTTTTCAGAAAAGAGTTCAAATAAAATCAATTGCAAAAACAATAGCCTTTCCTTGAAGCCTACATTAAACACTTATTTCCCATGGCTTGCTGAGTACTCCCGTACTCACCCTTGCTCTATAAAAATAATCCCCCCACCAGTTGCTGAAGAAGATGATGCGGATCCCGCTGACGAGGAGTTCTTCCAGGAGCAAGCCGGTTACGATGAGTTTTAGGGTTTCGGCCTAGTTCCCAAGTCGCGCCTGTGTTGTTTGGTCCAAGTCTTGGCTTCCGCTTCCCTTTTGCAATGCAGTTGTGAGCTCGGGATCTGTCCGCAGCCCAACATGACTGTATCTCTACTCTATAATAAAGAGACCTCTGTTGCTGTGATATTCTGTCTTCCTGTGATACCAGCACTGTTTCCTGAGACTGGTATCGATTAACAGGTTAATTTGGAGCGTCATGGGCTAGTTCCTATCGGGACTAGTTCGGGACGTGATAGAACCCTGGGTTCCGAAAAGACCCAAAGCATAGTTACCAACAACCTCTACTTCAACTTTCATGAAGAAAGTACGTGTTTTTAAGCCACCTATCTTATACTACTATTTATACTTCGCTATCTCCCTCCCCCTCTCCTATTTATATTTTCCACAGTTAGCGTTTATTCTCTTTTCCTATCCATAATTTGTCAGACAACTTAGCTCATTCATCCATTGCATAGGAAGAAATTAACATCCTCTTCTATCTGTCATTTCTGCTGTTTGATAACATGCATGTACACATATTGCACCAGCATGATGATGTACATGTTACAAAATTTTATTCGTTTGGGAATAGGTGACATTAGGAAAGAAGCACATTGCACTATGCAGGTCTGCTGACCACCTAGAAGGAGCCGTGTCGGCCAGCAATCGATCTCTAAACCCTGGCCACCAAAATCTCTCGATCTCTCAGACAAGTTTGTACCTCACATTGGAACGAAGATGAACTGTAGATTGCGTGCAAGGTGTTTGTGCTGCTTAATTTGCTGCAGCTTTTCTGCAATTCTGTTCTCCTTTTTATTTGCAAGAAGGAAATCGTGGCCATGGTGGCCCGACATATACGTGTGCTCTTCCTTAGTGACAAGTGTGATCCCACAACACAGGGTTGAGCACACGTGTCCACACGATGCCCATGGCACAGACAAAGCACACATCTGTCTTTGACTACGACGCGACGTATATAAAAGTTTTATTCGTAAATTATTTTTCGTTTGCAGATATATTGTTTGGCTTATTCCGTAAATAAACCAAACGATGGGAGCCGTACACTATAATACCGACACTACAGTAGAAAATACCCTATAACCATAAACAGCTCCACAACAAGATAGTCAAATAGCATATGTTTACAAATAAGATGCTAACAACAGTGTGCTATATTGCACCAACAACATTAAGATATTGCGCCACACATCAGCATTAACACTACTCACTACTACAAAATCGATTTTCGCATGAGGTCAAAACTGATTTTCGCGGGTGTGTGGGCAGCCCACATGTACCCAGGTGTTCACAAAAATCTGATTTTCGCATGCGGCTAAAGTAACCGCACGTGAAAAATTTGATTTTCGCATGCACACGCTTAAGTTGTTCGACTGCGAAATGGAAAAATCGCAAATAAAAAAAATTCTGAAAATCAATTTCCCTTAGCCCTGAAACCTAACCCTAGAATCTAGAAGCCGCTGCCGCTACTGTCTTTGTCAACATCGCTCGAAGCTGTTTACAGATCCGCGCGTATGGGGGTGGAGAGGCGACGGGATCTGTGTGGGAGGTGGAGGGGATGTCGGATCCGCCCCTCCCATCGCCGTCATCGGTGGGATCTTTCTCTCTCTCCCAAGACCGCCATCGCCGTCGGAGCCCGAGCCCACGACCTTCGCCCATCATCGCCTCATTGGGTGAGGAGGTCCTCGTGCCGTATCTGCCGCTACCGAGTCCCCCGCCACCAGATCCATTACACAAGCCCCCCGCCGCCAACCTTCCCACAGCCTTATCCATCACCACTGCCCTCCCAACCACCGGCTGCTCTCACCCGTCCGCCCGCTTGCCACGTACTGTTGTCATCGTGGCCGCGGTGGAGGAAAGGAATGAGCAGGGCACGACCAGTGTGAGGATAGTAGAAGGGAGGAGTGAAGAGTCCTATCCGAGCATGAGCCTGCCACTCTTGCCTCGTCGAGAGGAGTAGGAGGAGTAGGGACAACAGTGGTGGACGGGAGGAGTGGGGAGACTTAGTGGGGGAGAGAGAGTGGAGGTGAGAAAAAGAGGGGGTATTTCGTATGTGAGCTTTTTAATAGACTGGTTTATTTTTTCATGCGAACTTGTTAAGAGGTTCGTCACCAAAAATTGATCGCATGTGGTTTTTGAACCGTGCTCGGAGGTTTGATTTTTCTAGCTATAAGAGGGTAGTTATGGTTCGCATGTGGTCTAAAGGGATTTTATGCAGAAAAATCGATTATGCAGTAGTATACAATCCCTACTGCTTATGTATTAGTACTGTAACCCAAAATCACAAGAAATACGGAGGTCTAACATTTATTACTAGAAATCACTAGTTTTAACGTGCTATATATCTAAGCATGTTCTCGTTTGGATCCAAGGGGCAAAAAAAAAATAGCCTTAGAGAATCTTATCGTTTAGAAGTATTTAATAATGTGTATGTCCAAAAACCTCTGGACTAATTCGCAAGACGAATCTAATGATATATATTGATTCATAATTAGCGGATAATTATGGTAGCATCACTGTAACAAATCATGAATTAATTAGACTCATTAGATTCGTCTCGTATAGATTAGTCTATAGGTTATGAAAGGTTATGAAATGAGTTTTATGAGTAGTTCTAAATAGCTATAGCCATAGTCCGGAGAGCTATAATTGACCGAACAGGGCCCATATGTATACCTGCAATTCTGTATTTTCCAACCAACCAATAATTAAGCATTGACGTAGCGGCTGAATGGTTGCCAAATTGCCACGTACAACGTACGTCCATCATCCGTCGTGCAGCCTACAGCCACGACTAACCAGCTTCCAGCCAAACGCCGACTAACGTCACCGAAACGACCAAGTGTGAAGCTCTCGATTCATCCAGCCAGCTACTGTGGTGGAGGAGGAGGAGACGCCGCCGCCGCCGGAATCCTGAAGTGGTCCAGCGCCGACCGCCCGTCGAGCCCCTTCCCGTTGTAGTGCGCCAGGAACTCCCCCGCCGTCGTGCTCCTGTACACCGCCGCCGCCCGCGCCCCGCTGCCGCCGCCGACGACCGGGACGCACGGCCTCGTCGACGAGTACGCGAGGCGGAAGAAGCACGCCACCGACACGCGAGCCGGCCCGGCGGCGCCGGTGGGCAGCACCCGGTGCTCCACGCTCCGGAGCCTCTCGTTCGACACCAGCTGGAGGAGGTCGCCGACGTTCACCACCAGCGCGCCGGCCACCGGGGGCACATCCACCCACCGCTCCTCCGGGGGCCGCGGGAGCACCGCCTGGAGCCCGCCGGACTCGTCCTGCAGCAGCACGGTGAGGAAGGTCGGGTCGGAGTGCTTGGTCGCGCCCATCGTCGCCTCCGGCTCCGGGCACGCCGGGTAGTAGTGCGCCGCCACGCTCAGCCCGTCCGTGCCCCCGGCGTCGCGGCCGAGGTACCCCGCAGGGAGGCCCAGCGCCTCCGACAGCAGCTCGAACAGCCGTTCCCCGAGCCGCCGCACCGCCGCGGCGTACTCCTCCAGCACGCCCCTGCACGGCGGCGGGATCTCCTCCGGCGAGGGCACCTCCGGGAACATCTCGACGAACATCGTGTCCCGCCAGTTGGCCGCCGGCGAACGGAAGAGGTCGAAGTTGGAGTTGAACCGGACCTTGCTGGCGACGTCCCTGGTGTAGTAGGGCACCTTCGCCTCCAGGGGCTCCTCGTTGAAGCGCCGCACCGCCGCGAGCATCTCGTCCATGAGCTCCCCGGCGACGCCATGGTTGACCACCTGGAAGAAGCCGACCGTCTCGGCGGCCGTCCTCACCTCGGCGACCACCCGTCCCCGGTCGACGTCGGCCTTGGCGAGGTCGATGAGCGGGATGGCCGAGGCGGCCTCCGACGGCGCGGCGACGGGGAGGGGGTCGGGGTGGTGGCGGAAGAAGTAGGGGACGGTGGTGACGCCGGCGTCGACGAGGCCCTTGACGCCGGCCTTGGTGTCGTCGAAGGCGTGGAGGTCACGGAGGCGGTCGGTGCCGGAGACGGTGGCCATATGCGCACGCGCGTCGTGAGCTCCTGAGATGAGCAAACGCTAGGGCGCGCAGGAACGAGGCTTCGCTGGTGGTTAAGAGCAACTGACGCCGGTTGAACACTTGTGTAGTTATAGTAGAACAGTAATCCCTCCGTTTTTTAACAGACGACACCGTTGAGTTTCGTAATCATTCATTTTATTTAAATATTTTATGTAAATATATAAGATATAAATAATATTTAAAATACTTTAAGTGATAAAATAAATTATAATAAAATAAATTATAATTACGTCAACATTTTAATAAGACATCAGCATTGTGATAGTTGGAGGAAGAGCTGTATGAAGACTGGACACTATATGTTGGCAAGATTTTTCGTGGATCTCCTTTTAGCTATTTTTCTATTCCTTTTTAGGGTAGGTTTGTTGTGTGTACTTGTAATCATCACGGAAAGGTTTCATTATTTGCTTATCTTGAAAGACTAATTGGATCATTTGCTAAGGCATTTAGGTTTAAAAAACAAACTTTTCACCCATTATATCGAATGTTTAGACCCATATATAGAGTATTAAATATGAAAAAAACAAACATATAGAAAAGTGCGTGATTAATTAAATATTAGAGCGAAAGTGTTGATAACGTGCAAGTGGATAAAATTGATTGGAGCGAGAGAGAATTGAGCGATAGAAAAGTAGAGGGAATGAGCGAGCGATTCTTTATTGATCACAATGGTTACAACATACAGTGGTTACAACATATAGGGGGGAGAGAGGCGGCAACCGAAGACGCGATGGTTTGGAAGCCATCGTGTCCGTTGCTAGGATCGCCATGAGGGTGAGAAGACGTGGGGCACGACATAATCGTCATGTCCCTATATTGGTTACCGATCTATCCGTATATATGGATGAGATCATATAACTTATTTCACAACAGATACAAGAACTTGTTTTTTATATTTTTGTGAATGGAGAGAGCAATATACATTTATAATCTGTACACGCACGCACGGCTAAGGAAGTTATATATCCTCAGTACGTTCTGGAGACGGAGGAGTAAATTATCTCTCTATTAATTAATTTAGTCCATAGTTTGGCTCAGTACTTAACCCTCCATTTATGAACTGAGGCTGAACCAATTACGTGGCCTGTTCGGTTCACATCACATGAACAGGAAAAACACATGAATAATATATATGAATACACGTGAAAAATAAAATGTTGGAACACAATGTTTTCCTTCAATGAGCTAAATAAATAAAAGATGATGGAGTGGATGTTTTCATTCTTATAAAATCAATATATTTTGAAGGGTTTTTGGAGGATTGGCGCATGTGTTCATATGGAAAATTTTCATTTGAATCCTATGAACTGAATAAAAGACAGTGTTTATTCCAAAGGAATAGAGAAATTTTTTTTAAGATAATGGAATGAAACATCCCGGCCTTTACTCCGAAGAGCTACAGCAAATTATTATAAAAAGTAGCACACTTATAAAGTCTTAATTCAAGATAAAACTATCAAACCAACCATAATTAAAAGAAAGACCTAACATGACAAGGAAAACATTATTCCAGCCTATTAGAAAATCTCCATCCATGGTTGGCAAAAAGTTGCATAACCGTTGACTCAAGAGTACGACATGCAACATTCAGGAAAACTCCATCTTCCTCACACTTTTATAGTTGAGCCCACAGTCGAAGCCAATATGTTGCCCTGAAAATTACCTGCATATAGGAAACATATGGTAATTTGTCAAAAACCCTATCATTTCTGCACAACCACAGGACCCAACATAAAGCAGAGGCACCAACAAGTATCAACTTTCTCTTGTCCTTGTCCACGCCCTGAAGCCAACCATTAAACATATGAGGTATGCTTCTAGGAAGATGTAATCCAAAAGAAAATTGATTAGCTCTCCAAATAAACTTTACATAATGACAATCCATAAACAAGTGTTGGTTCGTCTCATTTTTCATGCAAAAACAACATGTTAAACCCACATTCCAATTCCGTCGTGCAAGATTATCCTTTGTTAAGACAACTCCTTTGAGCAAATACCACATAAAGATCTTGATCTTAAACGGCATCTTAAGCTTCCAAATGAAGTTATTTCTATCAATGTAACCATTGCTAATTAAGGCTAAGTACATTGACTTTACCGAAAAATGGCCATTTTGATGATAATTCCATTTAAAACAATCAGTGGAATCATCCAACTGGATATGAGCAATGGAAGCACACAAATTATACCAAAGTGTTAGATTCTGCCCAACTAAAGCTCTCCTAAAAGAAACATTTAGCGGAACAGAACCCATAACACTAGCAATAGAGGCACTCTTCCTTCTGACAATAGCATATAAAGATAGATACTTATCTTTAAAGGCTATATTACCTAGCCATTTATCCTCCCAGAATCTTATCTGTTGACCATCATTCACAGTCCAAGAGCCCATACTTAAGAAGGTGTTTTTTACCTTCAAACCGAATAAGACCATAAGGTTTTTCATGCAAAATACAAAGGCTAACCCTCCTGTGATGAGTTAGTTACCTCTCCTTCTTGACCAATTTACACGATGTTTGGATGCAAAATATGCAAGCACCCGTCCCACAATATACTACATTTTAAAAGCAGCATAAACTTACCTGATTACAACCACTACGAACGTTCAGAAATTGACAATTGGTCGGTTGGACATATCCCTATCTGTCCCATACTTCTAGTTCTATCATTGCATCATAGATTCATCAAGCATGCCAACCGAATGACGCATTACTCCTCAAGCCACGTGGCTATAAATATTAATTAATTGAAAAAATTATAAAAATCATCCAATAAGTTACTTAAAGTTAGATATTTCACCTGATTTCACCCCCATAAATCATTTCAGTGCAAATATCCATGCTACTCTCTCTGTTTCAAAATGTTTGACAACGTTGACTTTTTAGTACATGTTTGACCATTCGTCTTATTCAAAAAATTTAAGTAATTATTTATTCTTTTCATATCATTTGATTCATTGTTAAATATACTTTCATATACACATATAGTTTTACATATTTCATAAATTTTTTTAATAAGACGAACGGTCAAACATGTGCTAAAAAGTCAACGGTGTCAAACATTTTGAAACGGAGGGAGTACTACTTAGTTTTGTTGCAAAAACTACCCCAATGTGTAGGTTCTTAAATGAATCAACATGTTTTCATAAATTGTCGTAAGCCGTCACTATGTAGTCTTTACTAAAATTAAATACTTGTACGAGTATAGTCTTTGACACTATTATTGGAGATTCCACAAATATAAATGTCGATAAGAGTTTAAACGTATTTGCACCAAGTTTCGCTATATGCCAAAAAAAAATCAATAAAACATGAAGAGTAGGTATAATACAAGTACTTGGACAAGATTAATTCTGCTAGCTTGCCTGTGAAAGCCTTAGATCAGTGATAACGAGTTGATTTGGTTAATCACGTTTGTACTAGGTGGTTTTTACAACAAAACTGAGTAGGGGGTGGGCTTTTGCTACAAAATGACTTTATGGGATAGAATATTAAACTTTAAATGACTTATGGGGGTGTTGTTTGCTATTTTCTCTAATTAATTTGGTCGCTAAGAAACACCTAAATTTTGAGAAAACTCTTTCTTTTACCAACGAATATTTGCCTATCTGTCGAGTCGAGGAGTGATTCTCTCTAGCGGGTGATCGAGAGATCCCATTTTGTGAGTTCAGCCGGGGGAAAAGGCATGCTTGTCGAGATCGTGTATCCGCCTGGAGTGCTTCGAGATCGCGCACGAGTGCCAAGATTATACAGGTTCGGGCCACTATGGAGCGTACTACCCTACTCCTGTGTGTGGGATTTATGATTGAGTGTTACAAAGGTTCCTAAACTCCGGAGATGTCACATCCTGATTTTCGTTCCAGGATTTATAAATTATTTAATAAATTATTAATAGAATTTATATTAAATGTTCATTAATTTACAAGTGAAGTTAAATGTGGGAAATAAAATTTCCTAAATATAAAGCATGGTTGGATTTAATTTTTATTAAATTCTCCATGATTAATTATACTCTCTGAAATTTTCTCTAATTTTTTTTTCAGAGCTCAATTCCTTAATGATACAAAGACCAGTTCAGTAATTAGTAATCAATTAATGATCTAATTATAATTATGTTAAGTGCTTTTCTTGTTTAAAAATCCTTAATTTATAAATTGTTGTCTAAAAGGGAATTATTAGAAATGATCTTAAAAGCCTAGAAGAGAAGATCTAATTTTAATTTGTTAAATCTCAATATAAAAGTGGGCTAGATAAAATTTTGTTAAAAACTTCTCTTGTTCTATAGTTCCTAGATTTTTCTGGGATTTATTTGGGCCAAGGAAGTAGTTTTAATAAATGGAATTGCATTTCATGAATAATTTAAAGGGAAAAAGGTTTTTAAAAGTCATCTTTTGGCTTTGGGCCGAAAGTCGGCCCAAAACCGCTCTCTCTCTCCCTCGGCCCAAGTCGGCCCAAGCCGAGCCGCCCGCGAGCGCGCGTGCGACCGCCGCTGACAGGTGGGTCCTACCTGTCAGTCTTCGTCTTCCTCGCGCCGCTGCCGTCGCCCGAGCCCTAGCGCCGCGCCGCCGTCGTCTCCTTCCAAATCCAGCCGCCCCTTTCCGTTTCCGGTGAAATTAATTGAGGGGAAATGTTTCCCGAGATCTTCTCTACCTTTTTCCTTTTGGAATCGATCGCCAATTCGGTTGGAAATCCGTGGATTCGAGTTCGATTCGGATCGATCTCTCTCCTCCGAACCCTAAACCTTCCTTTCCGTCGCCGGTCACCGTGGTCCTTCGCCGCCGCCTCCTTGCCCCTATAAAAGGACCCCCGAGCTTCCCTCTACCCGTCGCCACCCTTGCCTTCGTCTCTCGTCGTCCGTCGCGCCCTAGCCCCGTGAGACCTCGTGCCGCCGTCGTCGCAGCCGCTCCAGCCGTGTGTCGCCATCGCTCCAGTCGTCGCCGTCGCTTGGGGAGGTCGCCATCGTCCGCCCCTCCGCCGTCGCTGTCGACCGCCGGAACACCGCCGTCGTCGTCAAGCCGAAGGTCGCCGCCGCTTCTTCCTCGACGCCGTCGCCGTCCGTTGATCTTCCGCCGCCGTTTTGGTCACCGGTGAGTTCGCCGCGTCGCTCTCTACGTGCTGGTGCCCTCCGTTCGTGCCGTCGCGCCGTCGTTCGCCGGCGAGCATGCACGCTCGAGCCGCCGCCGGTGGTGACGTCACCGCTGACGTCATCGTCGTCGTCCATCCGTGAGCCGCGGTGGATCCGATCGATCTTGGCCGTCCGTTTTGGATAGGATCGATCTCGGCCGTTCGTTTCCGTGAGCCGCCGCCGTGCACCCGGTTCACCGCGAACCCTAGCCGCTGACGCAATAATTCCCTTTTCCTTTTCTAAAATAATTCATTATTGCGTCATAATTCAATTAATACCCATATAAGTGTTTTAATCCGATTTA